CAATAATAAGCACTTCACAACTGATAATCTCAGCTTATTATGAATGATATACTATTCGTATAAATGAAATATGTACATGAAATGTATATTGAGAAATTGGAAACGGGATTTAGTTCATTCGAAACTAACCATTACTATCTATTTCTCAATAATCTATAAAGATGAATAACTTTCTATTGTACCGGTATATCAAATGACTTTACTAAATATATATATTTGATGGTTAATATTGCGTATTAAATTGTGATATTTTTACGAAATAGAAATTATTCCTATCTTCTGATTAACATTTGATAAGAAGTTTCTCATAAATAATCATCATTTAATCAGGTCATAGTAACCCACCAAATTAGTTGTCAAGATTAAAATATATACCTTATGGTTCTTTAACCTTTTGTTAACTGTACAAATATGCTCGCTCCACAGTCCGCTTCGTTAGTATTTAAAAATAAACTAGGTGTAGCATTTACTGGTATCAATTATCACTTGAATTATTATTAGTAGACATGTTGTGTCATGAGCCATAGATATTCGCTGACACTAACCAATTGATGAGTGATTTAACTAACTAATTAAGTGAAGTTCAATAGTTAGTTTTTATTCATTAGGTCACACAGATGATAATCCAATAAATTAGATCAATATTATCTTAAATTCTCATACTTATGATTTGATTAGTCATCATCATGTATTGAATGGAGGATTGATTTAATGAATGATCTATGTATTATTCAAATAAGTTGATAAATTATCGTCTTATGTGTGTTATGCATGTATGTGTGTATGTTGTCATAACAGGCAAACACACCTGCATATATATATATATATATATATATACATATATATATATATATGTATATATATAGTTAATAATTATTTGTCCTCCTCATCCCCCTGGTGTAAAAGAGGACGACATTACATGCCTTATTTAAATATAAAAATTTATATGTACACATAATGATTCTCTACTTTGCAATTTAAAACAATCCTTTTTTAGCACATATATAATATGTGTTTTTTCAGTTGGTTAGCCTAAATTAATTACCAGTTGAAAGCGAGAGAAAAAAAGGCAGTAATAATATAATGACAATATAATTTGTACTGACGGTAAATGTAATGAAAGATGAAAGTATAGAAAAAAATTTATATTAGATCAGTTTAGTTACTACTCTGATAATTAATTAGTAATTGCATGGAGAAAGAGAGAGAGAGAGAGTGAGTGAGTGGGAGAAAGCAAATTCACAACTCTCTCTTCCCATCATTGCCTTTTTACAATTTTGCGCATTTCTTCAAATTTATTAGTATGTTCATAAAGAAAAGCAGTATATAGAACGAAAGAATAAATCAGTTTGTAAAAATTTTCATAAGGAAGAAAAAAAATTGTTCAAAATATTCACTGAAAGAGTAATTTGAAATAATAAATTCTTATTACTGATAGGTATTAATTTAAAATGGCAATTAGAGTAGTTTTCAGAAAGAAAAATGTTAATTACTACTAATTTGAAATTGTGCTTCAAGATATATATGGTACTTTTTGAAGAAACGAAATTTGTTTTTAATGTTTAAAACATAAAAATAGTGTATGTATGTGTGTTAGTGAATAGGAGAGATAAAAATGAATATTTAAATCGCATAGGAATTTTCGAGACAACTTTTCTAGAAAAGAAAAAACTTTTCAGGGATTTATAAACATTAATATTGTAATGAAGGAGAACACAGGTGAGGGCAACTGAATTGAATCTAACGAAAATTACAGAGTTACTCAGTAAAATAGGAAAACCATATCGTAAACGGTTAATTTGCAAATCTTCAATCAATCATCAATCCATTGTCTAACATTTCACTATTCATGCGTTTCATACAAATTCCATTGTGTTCCCACTCTTCCTTTCTTGATCTTCTCCCATCTTCTGCTGCCAGACATTACTTTTTCACTCGCGTCATATACTACTTATAAGTAGCGCGCACCACAATATTATGTAAAAACTTTACATTCGTCAGTTGATTTGCTTGAACTATTAAGAGTTCATCTTAGTGGGTAGACGAGAGCGAAGATAAATGGTCCAGTGACACGATAGCCTACTTTAATCCGAGCGACACTAGGCCCCCACTAAGTAGAGCAAGAAGTCTTGATATGGAGTAGAAAGTGTATTCTACAAGCACCCAGAAAATATGACGTTCACAAACACACACAATCGAATTTATTTCTACATCATAGAAACGTCGTTGACAGAGCCACAAAAATCGCGCACTAAATTAGTACATCATCCAATAACAGTCAAGGATTTTCCAGGTTGGAGATGTAATCTCAAGGTCAACTGATCAGCCCATGCTCGAAAACATAAAATTCTAAATTAGGACCATTATCAAGAGAGTTCTGGGGATATAACCTCCCCAACAAGCTAGTTACTAATTAGCATGACAGATGATAAGGAATTAAAATAAAGTTATGGGCCATTTTTAACTCAAGATTCGGACTGACCTTGTGATCTGAAGGTTTTAGACTCGATGGTGAATGCCTACCGCTGAACAGTTATATACTCGAATGAACCAGCAATCTAGTAGTGTCTTGTGGTTTTCAGCGGTTGTCTAACTGAGATCAGTCTGGGATGTGCAATTAAAAAAAAGCGAATATAAACACAATCTAATGACTTTTCATAAATTTAAAGCATGTGAATGGAAAGACAAACCCAAGTTCGAGGTTTCCAGTGGTGGTCTTACTAAGATCGGCCTATAACTTCATGAAACTCAAAAATCTCCACAACCTCATACTAAAAACTGCCATGTACTCACTAGTGACTATCTTCTAGAGGAGATTCTTGGTGTTCTAGTGTAAATTCGTTACCAGTGGAGTTCAGTTGTGAAGCAGTTATTTACCGAAGACAATGGATGTGATCTGAATGAGATTCTTAAATTTTCTGATAAAAAACCTTATAATGAGCCAATAAATTATCAAAGTGCTTGATCTAATTGTTATTATTCCACAGAATAACGCTAGCGGAAATGAAACACTCTTCATTGTCAACACATCAGAAGAAAATTTCTATGAGCTCATGAAATTATTTAGTTCTTTGAAAACTGATTTATTTGACAAATATATGTATTTATCAGCTGAACTAGGGTGTTCCAAAATTAATTTTGCAACAAATCTTTTGGAGTTCAATGATTTTCAGTTGTTTGTCTCTCTCACACACGCATACACATAAGATTATCTGAAATACCAGATTCATTCAGGTAATGTTGATGTTACTGAAGGAATATTAGAAGCCTTTATTTAACATGTGGAAATAATCTAAGAAAATTTATAACACGTATCTGACTAAAGATTATTGAGATGTTGATAATAACTTCCTTCCCCAATGTAGAATATAGTCCTTAAATTATGATGTCACAATCTATCCATGTGAAAGTGAGAATAATTAAAAATTTTGTTCACGTAACTTAGTAGGACGCATTTCAAAAGATTGCAACAACACAGGTGACTAAGTGAATATATATATATATATATATATATATATATATATATATATGTATAATGATTTCAGTCAGCGCACTTAGGCACATTTCATAATGTTCAATGGTATACAATAGAGCTTGACAGTTTGTTTTGCCTATATATCGGACTATTCACAAACCGAAATGACTGAACTTAGAACATTATCATATATTTATATCTACACTATACAACTGACAGTAAAACTGATTTATAAGGTTGATACTAATAATTATTTAGTGTATTAGGGATAACTGAGTCAACAGCTGATTTAGTTTTCTTCATCTGTGAGAAAAATCATTCTGCTGCTGGAATGTTGTCTAGTCCTACTGATATGCCGCTCTTGATCTGTCTGATGGCCATACTGATCTCCTCGATTGTAGGTGCGCTAATATTAATTGGGAGGTCCGTAGATGCTGCTTCGATATTGGGTAGGTTCAGTGGAGCTGGTAGATTCAAAAGTTCCTTAAAGTTCTCCACCCACCTATTTCGCTGTACTTCAGTGTTGCTTGTTTGAACAGCATCAGTGCAAATCCCTGTGTATGTGAAGCATTTTCCTCTTCATGACCAGAGTATAACAGCAATTCCCCTGAAGCTAGTCTAGGATTGAATTACATTTTCTGGTTAGCGTTATTTTTGGCAAGTAATTTTTAGTTGGGATGGGGTCGCCAACCTCATGTCCAACCCTTCCTCCTTTATCCTATATATATATATATATATATATATATATATATATATATATATATATATATATATATATATATATATATATATATATATATATAGGATTTGTCAGTATTTATATTAAATAGTTGGAAAATGTTTTTCTGATATACTTGCCAGTTGATATACTTACAGCTAATTTCACATACTATATTCGTCATGAACAAGTATTATACATCATCAGTTCATTGGAATGATTTATTTCCTACGTTATATTCGATAATCTCTCTCAACAACAATAACAAAGAATAAAACCTGTTTTCATGCATCGAAATGTATACTGAATAAACGAATTACAGATTATACTGTATGTAATTTCAATTATTTTCTTTTTCTAAATCATCATCATCATCCTCATTCGGTAATAAAATGAATTATCTTTATTTTTATCTATTTTTCTGCTGTTTATAGTTTAACCTTTTTCAAGTCACATTTCATCTCTTCTACTTTCTTTGCTACTGTTCAAGATTCAATCGAAGTAGATAATTAGATAGATATATCACAAATAGTAGACCATTGTTTTTAAAAATTTAATATTTTTATTTTAAATTATAAAATGTTAATTTGTATGATTTTTTGATTTTTTTTTAACATTCACATTTGTATGTATATATACATAAAATCATTAGTTGTAAAGTATTGTTAAGCATGCTTTGTAATTATATTTATTAATAAGTAGTACAATATGACATAAATAAACTCATTATGATAAGTATGATACTACTGAATTAATTCAATAAAATATATTCATGATTATTATATGTTCAAATATTCATATTCCATTTTATTCAGTTACTGAAGATTGAAGATGATGGTGATGATGATGGTGATGACGTAATAATTTTGAATGATTCATCCAGCTGAATAGATTTGAATGAAATGCAATGTTATCATGATGATCATGATGATGGTCAGTCGACAATGTTCTCTTAGCTTCATTATCATCATCATCAACATCAACATCAACATGATCATTATCTACTTCTTTTAAATTTGATGGCGTTAAATGTTTCAATTTTGAAATTTTAATTCCATTGTCAGATTTTAAAAAATCTTTCATATATTGTGATGTTTTATATTGTTTTAAATTCTCATCCACTTGATTAGATTCCCTATTGAATTTACTGTGATGATCGTGTTGATGGTTGCGATGTTGTTGTTGTTGTTGATGATGATGATACTGACGGTTTCGATGCAGATTTGAAATTACCGCATCAAAGTTACCTAATAATTCTGAAGGAGACATTTCCATAAGAGGGAATATATTCTTCAGTTTATAATTAATATGATCTTGTTCCTTTTGGTGTTGTGTTGCTTGACGCTGATGTTGATGCGTGAAATGATGATATTGTTCAGGTGAATTCATTTCAAATACAGGATACTTTGAATTTTCAATAGCTATTGAATGTTGAGCATTGAATTGATCTAAATGTGTATCATTTAGAATTGAATCATCAGAACTATGATTTGATGAATTCAATATTCGACTGATCAATCGTTTTTTAGTTTTATATCGTCTATTTTGAAACCAAATTTTTACCTGTTGTTGTTGTTAAAAATAAAACAAGAAAGATAACATTTATTAAAGAGACGACAAATCAATAAGAAGTTGAAAAGTAAAAAAAAATTAAACCGAAATAATGATTAGTAATTTACATTCGAAAGAATTGTGATGATGAAAATATCTATAAATTTTTGTAACTAAAACTAACTAATAATAATGACTTTATTCAATAATATGTTTCTTACAATATGAACGTTTCAGAATAGTATACCTCAACAAGTTTCCTTTATGAATTAATTAGTGAATAACAGTTGGAAATGAGCAATTCACGAGTTAACATATTATTATTATTCATACTTTTCTCAACAGATTGCCAGCCACCGCAATGTCTCGGAACGGATTTTTTCCTAGGTCTGAGCAGATAATAATGCTATGAATAGACATGATTGATGTGTTAAAACAAGCATAAAGAGATAATTTGTCAAGAAACATTTAGCCCAGAAGAAAATGCTGTTAGCATTTGAAAACTTTTTAAGGAATTTAAAGATTCGTTAAAAATATGTCTAGAGTGTATCATCCTTTTATTTTTTAAATGAGAAATATTTCTTCGTAATTCTTTAGAATTAATATCTAGTTTGACAGAAATAATAAACAAACATAAACAAATATTATTTAGCTGTCTACTTTCAGCTACCTAAATCGAAACTTAATTCAAATCGATCAGTTGTGTATCAATTGTATCTCTTACTGTCTAATACACCAAACTGGATTTGACCCATGAATTTAATGACTAGTTATTAAAAAACTATCATTCATTAAAATAAATCCATCCTATTCAAAATGAATCAGTTGCATGAAAATGTTATTCTTCAGAGTTGATTTTCATAAATTGATTCAAATCCAGTACTACTTATTTAAAACACTAATGTGTAATCTATTGAGTTATTAAATTCAAGTAGATGTCAACATCATAAATCTGTGTACTCATTAAGCAGATAACATTTTCATAGAAACACTAGATAAGACTCTAATTGTCTGAATTTAACATTTCAGTTGTTACATTAGATAAGCTGAAATAAATCCACGATTCGTGATAGGGAACAAAATGATAACAGTATTATAAGTGATTAGTTTTAAATAATAATAATAATAATAATAATAATAGTAATAATAATAATAATATTTTATGAATTCTCATTTACAAATTTAGTTGTAATAGAAATAGCTCGATTAAATCAATTGAACATAATAAAAATGTTAAAACAAATCGATAATTAGTATTGTATTACTAGTGATCTCTGTAACTGATTACGAATATTGGATGATAATATTCAATGATAAATAACTATGTGTTCATGTATTTTTGTATAGTAATGAGTTTTTAATAATCGACAGGAATTTCTAAGGAGGAAATTACACGAATTTACAAAGAAAGAATATAGATATCAGTGAATTTCAAATCAATGATAACATGGTCATCAGTTAATTTGACGGTTATGATCGACTTAATAAAAAATATCACCAACTATACTCCCAGCTGAAAATATTTAATGTTAACTAAATCATTATAACTTTGAACTAATACAATTTCATGTTATTTGAAAAGAAAGTTTGTGTTACAGTACTCATATTTAATTTCTTCATCATTTAACGGGATAAACTCAAGATTTATTGAAACATTGAAAAAATCTAATGCTTGAATGAAATCTATCTATAAAGTTTTACCGAATAAATATTGAAGTAATTTGTATCAGTAAAAAAAAGTAGGTTGTAATTAAACATTAAAATAGTTCTTTTGCACAGAGCTCAAAACTTTAAGAATTACCATAAGCATCAAGAAAGTACAGGTGTTTGTAAGTAGCTATGTAAGATATTCTCCATCTAATGGTTAGAGACTATCAGACATAATCCACTCTCATAGAAAACAAACATACCTTCAGATGAAGAGAAGACTAGTAAAAAACGGTGAAGCTAGATAAGACACTCTACAGAAAGCATAAAGTCGCATCAAAAAGCGAGTCCTAACGTAGAATCTTCAAGGCCAAAAGCGACAAGACAAACTAACTGACGAGTAACAAACAACTTTAGACCTATTATCATAATGACAATGAATTAAGGTTTAAATTTGAGATTTTTTATAAACAAAGTATTATAGAATGAAGACTGATCCAGCCATAACGAGATATCGAATGGAGATCTATTGAAAACCGAGATCAAACCTAAGATCTTAAGATCTTTAAGGTGAGTATGGTTGATTTCAACCAAAAACTAGAGGAACCCACTAATTATTAGTCTCAGTTATTGATACATATATAAAACAAGTCACTTGGAAGCTAATAATTTTCATAACTAATCAATTGTAGTGTAAAGATGTACGTTTATTAGCAACACTGTTGTGAAATTATTCAATATCATAAAATAATTATATTTGCACTAGAACTCGACAGGTCTGTATGAATCATTCAATATTTTAGAACTGAATCACTTATAAACTAGGTTAACTTTACACTGAACCCTCTGTAACGATTATTTTACAGCCATCTAGTTGTAGTACCTTCACGGACATTTTCGTTCGTCCATAGTTAATTTGGTTAAACCTTTTGATTAATTTATCTAATCGAGTCATTTATATGGCAGTGACTTATAAGTACCGTTGGTTTATATTGTTGCCTGGTTTGTATGAGCTGGTATGACTGAACATTGCTTACCGCTTACGCGTATATTCATCCTATTCTCTCTAATATTAACCTCTTACATATATTTCCTTATGTATATATCTTATTCATTCATTCGCCGATTCGCCAATTCGCTCACTCACTTGTTTGCTTGACCTTCGGCACTAACATATTGATTTATGCTTTGTGTGCCTATGGTTGGATGGTCTTATTGTAGTGCCCCAAATATACGTGTTCGACACCTCGTATTCGCCTTTTGATCGAACAAAAACCGTGAGGCACCATTCAGTCGCGGTTGTCTGGACCAGTGGCATACAAATTCTAAGAACGCATTAGATACCGACCGTCAAGAAACTAGTCTGACACTGGCCATTACATACTTATTAACTAATATAAACAAGAACACATACACATAAACACAGGAATGACATACTTGAGTTTCAGATAATCTCAATGATCTAGCTAATTCAGCTCTTTCTGTAGCTGATAAATAACGTTGATAATTAAATCGTTTTTCTAATTCATAAACTTGTCCATGTGAAAATGCTGCTCTAGTACGTTTTCGTCGAGCAGTTGTATCAGTTGATAATGTTGACGTTGTGGTTGTTGGTGTTGGTGTTGTTGTTGTTGCTGCTACTGGTGATTGTACTGATAACAATCTAGATATTAATGGTTCATTTTTAAATTGTCCTACTGATGTTGTTTGTGTTGTTGTCACCGTTGATTCTGTTGATGTTGTCATTGTTACAAAAGGTAAATAATCTTTCATTGAATTTATACGAAAATAAACTTGACTGTTCAAGTTATTTACTATGTGATCACTATATTTGTCATCTTTATTATTAATACTATTCTTATTAATAAAAGAATTGGTACATTTTTTATCAGTATTATGAATATGATCAAGTAATGTGTTAATTTCAGGTTCTGTATGATTTATCGTTGTCACAGAATCATTACATGTTGAATAGTTTGAATTTAATAACATTTCTTTGTATTTCTTATAAATTGGATATGATAATCCATAGGATTCTAATTTTCTCAATAATTCAATTAAATAATCCTTACTAGAATTGTCAGAAATATTTTTAAAATTTAACTTATGCATTGTATTATTTTCATTCATATTTAAATCTGTGTTACAAATATTCTCTGACGTATGATTAATGTTCAAGTGTGCATTCATATAATTATTCAATGTACAATTATCTTCTATATTGTTTTCTATAATGGACTGACCTTGTTGTTTGTGAAAATGATTTGTATTTGAATTTTTCAATAGAATTGATTTAGAGGATATTAAATATGGTAATAATTGTTGTTGGATAATAGATTTTTTAAAATTATTATTGCCATCATCATCATGATCATCATTATGATTACTAGTTAATTGATCAATTGACTGTTTTAAATCTTTCGATTCTCTGATATTCTGTGATAAAACTAAAATATGACAAACAATATTAATTTGATTCAAAAAAATTTAGAGTTTAATGAAGTAAACAATATAAGCAAAAACAAACATTTGGTCAAAATATCATTAAGCATCGTATTTCGTTGAGTGTTCGTCAGTTGTTGACATTTAACTAATAACTAAGTTATAACAAAAATAAATTTTCAGTTAGAGCTTTGGAGATTTGTGTTTTTACGCATTTCAAAATCATCGATCAATCATTGTTCGATCACCTTTAGAAACCTGGAAGCACTGGAGGCAGTTTCGTCCTCGTACGGGACTCATCAATAGATTACCGTCAGAGTGTAAAGAAATTTAAACGACTCAATAAAGTACTGTAAAAACATATCTTACATGAAAACCCCTTTTATAACATTGGAAATAACAAAAGCTCAAACAGCCAGAAGCAAATGTTAACGAAATGAACATATGCTAATGAAGAGTAAGAATAAAATGAGTCTAAGAATGATGTAATCCGTTAAAAGACAGAGTTATGAATCATTTATAATATATATAAGTTATGATAAAATGAAGAATTGCTATCAGGAGAGAGAAAGATTAACAACAGTTTCCTTTTGGACATAAAACATTTTTTAGCATCTCGTAATGATGACATCGATAGATTAGATCTCAGCTATTTGCTGAATAGTTTAATAGATTTCAATCTGATTATCTATGTCTAGTAATTTCCCCTGTTAAAATAATTCATTCACTTAATTGAAGGCCACTTGAAACATTTTCAATCATTTTAAAATATATCCTGCTTTCTTTTTGGTCAATCTAACTGCTTTGGCATACACATTTAAATGAATAGACATAATTGACAACAATGTAAAAGGGATAATTATTAACCTTTCATTGATTTATTGAACATATTGTTTGTCTGTAGGTTAAATTCTCTCTAATACTATGAGATAATGATAACTATGTGTTGTAATTAACTTCGATTTCACATCTAAACATGTATATCTTTACTAAACTGTACTAATCACAATGAATTCGAATCAAATTTACCCAAGTAAATAAACTCACGTAGATCATTATAACCCAGATTTAAACTAGGGTAGTGAACGAGAAAACAGGTGGGGCAACCGAATTGTGTTTACAAAATTTACAGAGTTACTCAGTAAAATAGGAAAACCATATCGTAATTCGTTCATTTGCAAAATATCAGTCCATCATATCGAACTGGACTGTTCCTGTTGCAAAACATCAATCCATTGTCACTATTCATGCTTTTCATACAAATTCCATTGTTTTCTAACTGTTCTTTTCTTGATCTTCCCCCATCTTCTGCTGCCAGACATTACGTTGACATTCACGTCATATACCTCTTATAAGTAGTTCACACCACACTAGGTGTGTTTATTATATCAATCAAAATGCTTGATAAAAACTAATCATATTCATGATATATATATACATATTTTTGTCAAAATTATACAAACGATATATGTATATATAACTTACATTCATGATTGGATTCTAACATATTCCAAAATAGTACTTGTTCATCATTCATATTTTGAATTTCTCTTGGAGAATTGATTAATTTGCATTCCGAATAAGATAACTGATTATTACTATTATTATTATTATTATTATTATTATTATTATTATTATTATTATGAGTAATAAAATGTGTCATTTGTGGACTAATCACATTCATTGATTTATCGAATAGTTTATTTTTGAATGGTGATAATGATGATGATGATGAATGAGTTAAACTAGAAAATGTATCTAAAGCAGAATTATTCTCTAATGTTTGTTCGAATCCATCCTCGGAACTTTCTTGATTATTTTTTTCGTCAAAATGTGTATCAATTAAATTAGCGATTGAAAAAGAGTCCATTTTTTTCAAAAAAGAAACCAACTCTATTAAAGATTAATGATGATAATATTGACTAATTACAGATAATTCTACTATTTATGGTCTATTTACGTGTTACACTTCTCTATCCTTAATAATTAATAGTAATATCTTAAACCACTTTCATATTTTCTCCTCTTAGCCGCATTTCTATGCATTAATTGAAAATAACCAATAAAATTCAAAGATTTAACTTTATAAATGAATGAACTAGAGGGTAGACATTAAAGTCTGTCCAATTTCTGAATAATTGATTTTAATTATACACTGTTTAAAATCTATGTATGTGCGTGTGTATACATATATGTGTGTATATATGATAAAGTAAGTATGAAAACAAGAAAAAATGTCACACAGTTAATTTGAAAATTAACAGATACAAGTTAGTCATCATCAATTTGGATTGGTTAATTACAATGGATTAATAAAGTGGAATTTTTATTTTCTATAAGTGGACTTACTGAGAGAAAAGTATTAGAGATTCACTTTCACCATAACTTATTTGCGATTGGATGATAGAATTGTAAATGAACGAAAAATGGACGAGAAACAGAAAAGGAGAGAATTTTCTTATGTATTTAGACTACACAATTTCAAAACCTTCTTCAGGAGAGAGGGATAAAGGATTAAGATCGAAAAAGTTTAAATGTTTATGAGTGTGAAATGGAAACGAACATCTTAAATCGATTAGTTGAATATGGAATTTATATCACATAGTTAGTCTGAAAAAAAATTCTATTAATTAAACTATTTGTTGCTATTTTTAGGAATACACCAGTAAATATGTATGTGAAAGTCTCAGTGTACTGAATTCCTGTTTCTTTTAATCATTCAAATATTCTGTTTAATTTCATATTAACATGTTTTAGATTTTGAAAACCTATTAAAAAAGAACATGAGATTCACATTACTTAGACTTGATATACAAAAGAAAGTGGCTGCTGGAAAGAGTGCTTCGTCGTATTCGGGACCCGTCAAGTGGATATTCCTGCATCTTATAGATGATGTTCATTACGAGACTTGAGCAGAGTACTGTTTGATTCAAACACCGTTGTGTTATTCAATTAACTAATGGGTCCAGATAGCCACTTACTTGTACAACGGGTGATCAGTCAGTCAGCGTCGAACTTCGTACGTAAGTACATCAGTTCAGGCTGCCTACTACATCAGCACAGAGACGCAACTGTCAGTTCAAATCCAAGAGTGATAGCGATAGTAGAAGTATTAGCAGTAATGGAAAAGATTAGGGAGCGAATATATGATTCGAGAAGTATAATTCAGTGCGATAAATTTAGAAGGAGGAAGGTAGAAGTGAAGACGAATTCAGAAGATTAGAATTTCATAGAACATCACGAGTGGATGCACCTGCGCCATTGCAAGCCATTGACCTGATGGATCTCTGCCATGTTTTGGTTTGACCGCCCCTAGCTTTCTTCTAACATACTCGTACACCACAAAGCATCGCTCATCAAGGCAGTCCGTGGTTCGGGATTTGTCCTAACCACATCAACTGATGAAGTTTTACTACTTCATCTGTTGATTTGCCATCCTTACCTAGTACTCGTTTCCCAGTGGCAGCATTGCTTACTCGGTTGTCCCACGATACACGAGCAATGCTTCTAAGACATCTATTGTTGCGCTCGTCTCTAGGTGTGCTTAAAACATTTACGGGTTAACCCTAGTCGAATAACGAGAGCAAAACAATGAACCAGCGTCCAGGTAGGCTACTCTGATCCCTTGACCCAATTGTACCAACAAGAAGTCTTGATATAGCGTAGAAAATGTATTCTACAAACACCCAGACAGCACACAAATCGCGTTTATTTACACTCCATAGAGACGTCCTTGGGACGGTCACAAAAATAGCGCACTAAAATGACACATTAGCCAATCACAGCCAAGGATTTCCCTGGTGGGAAATGTGATCTTAAGGTCAACTGATCGGTCCATGAAATAAATCCAAAATAAAGATATTTATCAAGAGAGTTCTGGGGATCTAACATCCCCAACATCTATTGATAATATTACAACTTGTTCGATCTAATTCAATCAGTAATAAAGAATGTACAAGCTTGATATTAGTTTGAACATAATGGTCAATTAATAAAGAAATAATAAAATCGAAAAACACACTACTGTAAACAATGCTAATATTAAGGACCATTAGATTCCAATTCAGAGACTAAATCATATTGTGCTTGAAGTAACTGTAATTCATGATAATTTAAGATCCATAATGATATATAGTGGTTTTAAGCTAATACACTTAGCACCATTCTAGGGAATGCTACTGGTACCAGTTTACAGAGGAAATATTAATCTGTTTTTATTTAATTCCTGTTCTGATCCATAGAATAATTGTCAACAATCAATAAAATTGTACTTTTTATGCGTTGAAAATAGATTTAAACATGAATTGATAATAATTTTAAAGAAATTGTTAAAAAGCGCTTAATTCTTGTATGGTGAACGTTACTCACAAGGTGACAAATAAATAGTATACACCGGAACCTCGTCTAAATGTTGTTACCAGAGTGAAGAATGTCTGCGGATCGAAATGCAGTTTACGACCTCAGTGTATGGAAGAATAGAAGAGATGTGCAGGGAGGCAGTCAACAGACTATTTGTACTGTTAATGGATATGTTTGAAGATTATGTATACATGTATTTCATCTGATCCTCATATGTTACACTAATTTGAAATATTTCATTAATGAGATAAAGATTATTAGAATTATACATGAAGCATTGAACTTAGTCTTTTATTAAGTTAAAATTTAGTGATAAGCATTTTTACTATCAATTGATTTTGTGATAGAAGTTAATTTCCATCAATAAATTAGTTTCACTATTGATCAAGTCAATAATCGATTTAAACTTATACTCTTGTCCTCATCCTTGAGAGAATGTGAGTTCTAGAAGGATGCTTTCAATCTAACATAATCTTATTTCAAATTTTTGATAAATAATATTTATTTAATACACTATTAAACTTGTTACTTGTGATCTGAATGGTTGTATTTTGAAAGTCAAGTTATTTCATGATATAGTAGGATTATTAGTATCAGTGATAATTTACTTCGTTGTCTCCAATTTGTTTTACTTCATTGGTTATGAATTTCAAGTCGGAGTTTTCGTAATAGAGTTATGAAGATTGTTTTTTATTATTGAATTCATGAATCATTCATTGTTAGACCGCCATTAGAAACCTGGAAGCACTGGACTGCTGTTTCGTCTTGGTGCTGGACTCATCAGCAGCGCGCATTCTCGACTCTTGTCATTGGCAGGATTCAAACTCAGGACTTCCGGTATTACGCTCAGAAGCCTAACCTCTGGACCACTGGACGACATCCAACATTGCTAATGTCGAACTCTGGTCAATTTAGAGATTTAGCACAAACTCAACCATTTGTCTTTGATAGTTACTGCTACACTCAACAGGGTTGAACTCCATTGGTCACATCTTCTCACTAGAACTTCAAGAATTTCCTCACGAAGCTAATCACTAGTGAGCACATTGCACGATTTTTCATTATAAAGTTTGTCAGATTTAATTCTATAAACTATTTAGATGATATGGAGAAAATTTACACATATTCATATAAAATTCCCACTAATTCATTTAAATAAGTTTCTTAAATTTTTCATACTTCTCTCTAAAGGAATTGCTATTTGCAAAGAAGGGTTGAAGAAATAGATTAACTTACGGATTATTATTATTACTATTATTATTATTATTATCATTATTATTATTATTATTTAATGTTTCAATAATGCTTGTGTAATAAATTCAATAAAGATGAAAATTTAAACAATAAGATTTCTATTTAGCATTCTAGTCATTAAGAGTTAGTCACGAGATTAGAAGATCTTGAGTTCAATTCTTAGGTGAATAAAAGCGGACATTGTTCACTCATGCGAAAAAGTAGCTGTATTACCCAGTTATATATATCATTCTACTATCATTCTATAATAACGAAAATTTGTAGCTTAGATGGAGCATTTTCGAAGCAGAAGCCAAATTACGTAATGGGGAACAGTCGAGTAAAGAAGCTCAGAAGTGAGAATTTGTGTAATAGAATTTCGACGGAATTTTATGGAAATAAAGGAAGTAGTCTTACATAATAAACTCACAAAATATTAAGGTCACCAGGGCATTACAAGCTGGATAACTGTTTCTTTTTGGATGCATTGGTTCGGTGTAAATCTTTTGCTGTAATTACCTCAGCAATTCCTAAGTTTATCTGTTTATTTTGACTGATTTAGGGACTTCAAAATCATGATGAATGTCGAGCAGTCGACTAGCAATTGCGCTATTAGAAATCTTCAGTTTGATTAATCTCAACATTTTTCAAATATGTTCGGAGATGATGACGAAAATCTTTCTTTTTGTTCTTCCGATGTATATGCTTTAATATGTGCGGGTAAACTGGCAAACACAATTTTGAAGGCAACATAAGGCCAGTATTTGTTCACATTCGATTATCTCAATGGACATATTATTCGGTATGGAGAGAGACCAAATGGGGTTTCTAGGTTCGTTACTTTCAGCACTGCCTTTAGTCTAAAATCAACACTCCCATTTATCTCATCACCTTTGAAACTAAGTTTTAAAGAGATATGTTTTTTCTCAAACGTAGGATATCTCATTTTACTTTCTCGAGTCATACTGTGCTTAATTATAATTCCTTGTGAATAACTGTTCTCACGTAAACACAGTTCAACTATGACCAATTCCTCTTTATTTCTATCCTTATAGTATAATCTTCGTGTATGATTGAATAGCGTTCTAACCAAAGTTCTTTTTCATTTTATTGGGTGAAATTTGTGGAAGTTCAGATATAGCCTACTTCATGCATGCTTCCGATAAATGTATCTTTCTTATTCGGACACTTGAATTCTGTTTCATGCTAAGGTCTGTTACGGCTATGAGGGCGGTTGTCACTTCCCAGCCAAGGTCTATAAAATGAAACGTGTTTGGATGTTCATATTCCATTGTAAATCTAATTTTATGGTATGCATTCTATAACGTCAAGCTGATGGAGTTGCCACTGCTAGCTCACTATGCAGATATCTTTATGGTCATCTTAGAATATCAGCATTTAATGACACAACTTTGAATGTCAGGTAAGTGTATTATACATTTTGTTGCCTGCAATGATTCTCAACATACTTCTTCTATATTGAAGCTCATCAACAGAGCGTATGATTATCAAACCTGATATCAAATTCCGAACGAAGATAGATTAATTTTTGAGGTTTTTTTATTGTTAAATACTAACAATTAAATATATTAATTATGAATATTTAAAATGAATGATGATGACCACCATATCCTGCATACATCCTCATTTAGTCACTAGGGTTCAGTAAAAAAAGGTGTGAAAACGTGTTAGAATGAATAAGTGAATAAGTAAATAGATAGGTGAATAAGTGAAATTGATATGACATTATCAGTTACTAATCATAATTAAATCACATGTTCACACATTCAGTTAACTTAATTACTTACATACAAATACAATACTTGAATTAATAATGCTAATAAATCCTTAGAGAACATTTATCAACATAACTTTCTGATATTTTGTCTGAGTTTGATGATGCAATGCCTGAAACTTACATTTTTATAATTCAAATTAATATTACGTAAAAATAATTGTCTATTGATATTGACTACATAAGTTCTTTTGTTTAATTCAATGGTTAGAAACTGATGTCCTATTGTAACAGAATCGTTATCTTATACTGACAAGTCTAATAATTTTCGTTCCATGCTAATACTGATTATTATCGATTACTTAAACTGATGAATAGAACATGTAGGATTATGGAGAATATTGAGTCCCATTAAAATTATGAATAGATCAATGTTAGATAACTGTTAGAGACCAGGAAGTACTGGAAGACCATATCGTTCTAGTATGAAACTTGTCAGCAGTGTTCGTCCACAACTCGATAAGCAAAAATATGATTTAAGACCTTCGGTTTCGCTTGCGAACATTTAACCTCCAGATAAATTACTGTGCACTCATTCGTGAGGAAGTTCTTCGGAGTTTTAGTGAGAAGCTGTCACGGATGCAGTTTAATCACGTCAGATTTGAAGCAGTTACCCATGAAGACAATGAAGGAGGTCGTTCAATATCGTAGATTAACCGAATTTAGACATTAACACTGCTGGATGCCAGCTCTATGGTCTAGAGACTGAATGTTTGCTCATGAGACCGAAGGTCTTAGGTTCTAATCTCGTCGATGCCTACAACTGAGGAGTTTTAAAGCCCGTCAAAAACTACAGTCCAGTGTCTCCAGGTTTCTAATGGTGACCTAACATTGACCAATTCATGATTTCGATGACACTTCACAATCTCCACATTCCTATGACAAAAATAATAATAATAAAATCAACCAAATCGAAATGACTATTGCTCCCTTCCCCCCAACCCCATGAAAATATAACGAAACAGACGCATTTTGTACTTTACTGGTTATCATTGTCTAATTTAATCGATACAATAGCACAGGTTATATTGAAAAAGGCTCAATAAAGGTTCTTTATTTTATTGTCAAGAATGATGGATTAATTAACAAACCAATAAAAACCAAGCAACATTGGACAATAATTAAGATAATTAAATCTTGAACTAATAATCTCCAAATCTATTTTTCAGTTAAGCATTATTTATGTCTTCACTAGTGATCGATTTTCAATTACACTTCTATGGTTCTAATGATAATTTACAATTTAAATGAAATCCTATGATTGAAACCATGAATTTATCATTGTTAGACAACCATTAGAAACCTGGAAGCACTAATGGCAGTCTAACAATGATCGATTCATGGTTTTGATGAAACTCAACAATCTTGAGTAGTTTTGGATTAAATCTTCAACGAATTTTTTGATTGCACACAGCTTAAGTCTCTTATACTAAAAACAAACATTTACTCAATGCTCCTTGACCTTCAGGCGTATTGCATTTGAGAATAATCTTTAATGATTACAACATCTATCTTTCATTTGTTCACTTTGTTCCTATTCATTGTTTTGACATGTTAATACAAATCTTTGCATATACCCATATATATAATTGTCTAAGTTTTTGTTTTTCAAATGTTTCATTCACAATAATATTTTTCATAGACCATTTATTGTTAAATGTTCTATGTTTCTTTAAAAAAAAACCCAATTTGCTTATTTTCTTTTAATTATCACATTTTGTAGCCATTACATTCATTGTTGTGACTATTGGAAGTCAATTTGTTTTATATCTCATAATATATTCCTTTTTTACATTAATTAGAAGGCATAAATGATTCGTCGAATAATCATGTAATTATTTATTAATAATAATAATATGATTTTTGCCAAAAAAATGCCTGCATTTCTCACTAGTTTTAAACATTGATACATCATAAACAAAAGTAAGGCAATATTAATTCACAGAAAATGAAATATATTTCTTTATATTTGGTAATTTCTTATTAAATTATAATATGAAAAGTAACAGTAATTAGTTAATGATAATCATAGCAACTTTGAAACAAACTTTTAATACGTCTACAACAACCACGACAACACCAACAACTACTAATACTAATACTACTACTAATAATAATAATAGTAGTAGTAGTAGTAGTAGTAGTAGTAGTAGTAGTAGTAATCATAACAATAATAAAAGTTGGTATTTTCAAAACAGGTGTTTCCATAGAAAGACTAATTCATCTTGTATGGATGTAACTTCCTTCCTTTTTTTTACAGTCACACATATACATACACAAACTCATTCATCCCGTCTACTACATTTTTGTTGTTGTTCGTCATTGAATACATAACATATTGTAACTTTAGTGATTTTTTTTATTTCTGCTCCCATATTTCTATCTCTAATTGGCTTAAAGTAATTAAATCGCCGGTGTTAACTACAGGATAATAGTGTTTGCTTGCCATTTGACTGTTTTTTTGTGACTATCATCATAATCATGGCAACACAATATGGCTTGGATGAAAAGTGCAGATTCATCACTGCTACTACTACTAATCCACTAAAGCCATGATGATCAGTTACAACCAGATGGATTGGTAATTACATAAAACATAAAAACTACTATTATTACTGCAACAATTACTACTACTATTGTTATTAGTATTATTGTTAGTAAAAGTTTCATATTCTTCAGGTGTGTAAACATTGTTATTTTTTGTACATATCCAAATGGTATAAGATAAACATAGATATAGTTTTTGGAGTCAAATATTGTTGATGATAATTTTATTTACTGAGGAATTTTATTTAGTGGAAAGATGAACATGAGATATTCAATTGAAAACTGTATAATTGTTTAAAAAGAATTCTTTTGTGAGAGGAAGTTATCGAAAGGAGTATGTCAGCGTTGGAAGTGGATGGGACACACATTGAGGAAAGCACCCTACTGCCTCACTGTTTAAGCCTGCACTTACAATCCCCAAGGTCAAAGGGAAATTGGAAGAGAAAAGGACATATTATACCAATACTTGAAAACAGATATGAAAAAAATGAACAACACTTGGGCAGAATTGGAAAGGAGGACCCAGAACAGAGTAGATTGGAGAATTCTCCAATCTACTTGTCTACCAGGGTCATCAGGCGTAAATAATTAAGTAGGTTTTATACTACTTATTCAATATTTAAGTTAGTAGCTTTCAAAATAAATAGACTAGTAAATGACTGAATTAAGTTCAGAAAACATTAGAAACTGATAGAAATTATCTGTTAGTCATGAAATAAACTCTCTGGTTTAGTGGATACCTTGTTTGTGTCTGAAACAATAGACAATGAATTCGATTCTGTTATATCAGAACAGAAATTAAAGGGATGATAACTCTCAGAACTAAGTTATGGATTATTAGTATATTTACTTATATTGTATAATTATTAAGTAGCTAAATTATCAAGTTTATGTATTCCTGTTATCACAAGCTTCTTATTAACCCATAAATTATATTCATACAATTTGTTATTCTGATTCTGTTCCTGCCTTGTTTTTTACTGTCTCTGCTACTCACAGCGAATTATTGTCTCATTCATGTAAAAGTATAGGAAGTTAACTGGTGTCTGAATGTTCTCAACAAGGAATCGTATTCTGACTGGTAGTTCTGTCATATCACATTAGTCAACCGTCACAATCATAGGGAGTTCTCAATATGAACATCAACTCTGGAATTAGTCATACTAAATTAATTTTATAATTAAAAACAACCCAAGGTGCATACACTAAGGTTACTAGAAACGTTTTCAATTTCAAGCACTTTTGAGCATTTTCCCTTCGTTTAGTAGATAAATATTGCAGTTCCTGATGGCAGCAGCCAATCGAAATGTGGAAGAAAATGTCACTCACTGTTTGTTGTTTATTTCTGACCCCTTAAGTTTATTTGATTTACACTTATTATCTATAAATTGTCTGTTGATCATGATTATGGACACCTAACTTTCCCCTCGAGATAGATTTGAAGGAATTTGTTCAAAATCTCAGCTGTGATCAGCGAGGTTCAATCTGTGTAAGCCAGTTACCTGCAGCAGACAAAAAATGTAGGTTGGTCAAGATAGTGGACTGAGCAAAGTTAAACATTAAAACCTTTGAATGACAGTTCAATGGTCTGTAAGTTATGTTTTCGTGGGCGAGACTGAAAGTACCGGGTTCGGTTCTCGAGTGTGAATTTGTGGATGTACACTACTGAGGAAACTCCGCCAGTAGAACCTTCGGGGCTACTGCCGGTCCCAAGCCCGGGTAAAGGAGGAGGGTTGGACATGGGGTTGGCGACCCCATTCCGTCAAAAACTAACTTGCCAAAAAAACGCTAATCAGAAAAAATAATTCAAACCATTTTAACTCTTCCCAGGGAGTTGGAAGAAGAATTATGACGTCGCATGACGAAAGCCGAGTTCCCTCGGAAGTCACGGGGCCGATGCCTCTTCTGACAACCAGAGCAACCAATTTTTTAGGTACATGGAACGTTCGTACATTGTGGGAGACTGGAAGACTATTTCAAGTTGCGGCAGAAATGAAAAGATACAACCTCGAGGTGCTTGGAATCAGTGAAACACATTGGACACAAGTAGGACAACTGAGACTAGCTTCAGGGGAACTGCTGTTATACTCTGTTCATGAAGAGGAAAATGCTTCACATACACAAGGAGTTGCAGTGATACTGTCCAAACATGCACAAAAGGCACTAATAGGATGGGAATCTCATGGACCGAGGATCATTAAAGCATCCTTCAAAACAAAGAAACAGGACATTACAATGAACGTCATCCAATGTTATGCACCTACCAACGACTACAATGATGACGATGAAGATCAATTCTACGAAAGGCTGCAGTCAATCGTCGAGAAATGTTCACCAAAGGATTTGACGATTCTTATGGGAGACCTGAATGCCAAGGTTGGAATGGACAACACTGGATATGAAGACATCATGGGACGACATGGACTGGGAGAAAGAAACGAAAATGGTGAGAGATTTGCAAACCTATGTGCCTTCAACAAACTGGTCATCGGTGGCACAATATTCCCTCACAAACGCATACACAAAGCTACATGGATTTCACCGGATCACACTACTCAAAACCAGATTGATCATATCTGTATCAACAAAACGTTCATAAGGACTATGGAGGATGTGAGAACCAGGAGAGGAGCTGATGTAGCCTCAGATCTCCATTTGCTAATCGCCAAAATGAAACTGAAACTAAAGAAGCACTGGACAACGGGACAGACAACATCACACAAGTTTAATACGGCCTTTCTTCGGGATACTGTAAAGCTCAACGAATTCAGGATAGCCCTCACCAATAGGTTCCAGGCCTTTCAGGATCTACTCAATGGAGAGGAAGCAACATTGGAGAACAATTGGAAACGGATTAAGGAGGCAATCACTTCAACATGTCAGGAGGTCCTTGGTCGCAAGAAGCACCATCACAAGGAATGGATCTCTGTTGATACTCTCGCAAAAATTGAAGAAAGGAGGAACAAGAAGGCAGCAATCAATGTCAGCCGAACAAGAGCGGAGAAAGTTAAGGCGCAAGCCGAGTATACAGAAGCAAACAGGGAAGTGTAGAAGAGCATCAGAGCTGACAAACGAAAATACGTGGAAGATCTAGCAATGACGGCGGAAAAGGCTGCAAGAGAAGGAAACTTGAGACAGTTGTACGAAACTACAAAGAAGCTGGCCGGGAACTATCGTAAACCAGAACGACCAGTGAAAAGCAAGGAAGGCAAAGTAATCAGCAACACTGAAGAACAGAGAAATAGGTGGGTAGAGCACTTTAAGGAACTCCTAAATCGACCAGCTCCTCTGAACCCACCCAACATCGAAGCAGCATCCACCGACCTCCCAATTAATATTGGCGCACCTACGATTGAGGAGATCAGTATGGCCATCAGACAAATCAAAAACGGCAAAGCAGCAGGACCAGACAACATTCCAGCAGAGGCAATGAAAGCAGATGTAGAAGCAACTGCGAAAACTTTTCACATCCTCTTCAAGAAGATTTGGGATGAGGAACAAGTACCATCAGATTGGAAAGAAGGATACCTGATCAAAATACCAAAGAAAGGCAATCTCAGCAAGTATGAGAACTACAGAGGCATCACTCTTCTTTCAATACCAGGCAAAGTCTTCAACAGAGTATTGTTAAACAGAATGAACGACTTCGTAGACGCCCAACTTCGAGATCAACAGGCCGGATTTCGTAAGGATCGATCGTGTACCGACCAAATTGCTACATTACGGATCATTGTGGAACAATCAATTGAATGGAACTCACCACTCTACATCAACTTCATCGACTACGAGAAAGCATTCGATAGCGTGGATAGGAAAACACTGTGGAGGCTTCTTCGACACTACGGTGTGCCTGAGAAAATAGTCAACATCATACGGAACTCTTATGATGGATTCAACTGCAAAATCGTGCACGGAGGACAGCTAACCGACTCTTTCGAGGTGAAGACCGGTGTCAGGCAAGGTTGCTTACTTTCATCCTCTCTCTTTCTCCTGGTCATCGACTGGATTATGAAGACGTCAACATCTGGAGGGAAGCACGGTATCAACTGGACAGTTAGGACGCAGCTGGACGATCTGGACTTCGCAGATGACCTGGATCTTCTATCGCACACTCAACAACAAATGCAAGAGAAGACGACCAGTGTAGCAGCAGCCTCTGCATCAGTAGGTCTCAACATACATAAAGGAAAAAGCAAAATTCTCCGATGCAACACGAAATGCACCAACCAAATCACTCTTGATGGAGATGCCTTGGAGGACATTAACACCTTTACATATCTGGCCAGCATTATCGACAACATTTCTACAGTTGAAAAATATCTGGAACTCCAAACAACTTTCAACCAAAGCCAAAATCAGGATTTTCAATACAAATGTGAAGACAGTTCTACTGTATGGAGCGGAAACATGGAGAACTACGAAAGCCATCATCCAGAAGATACAAGTGTTTATTAACAGCTGTCGACGCAAAATACTTCGTATTCGTTGGCCAGACACGATCAGCAACAACGAACTGTGGGAGAGAACAAACCAGATTGCAGTGGAGTTGGAAATCAGGAAGAAGCGGTGGAAGTGGATAGGACACACATTACGAAAACACCTAACTGCGTCACGGGACAAGCCCTCAAATGGAACCCTCAAGGCAAAAGGAAAAGAGGAAGGCCAAGGAACACACTACGCCGAGAAATAGAGAAAGATATGAGAAAAATGAACAATTATTGGACAGAACTGGAGAGGGAAGCCCATGACAGAGTTGGTTGGAGAAAACTGATGGGCGGCCTATGCTCCATTGGGGGTAACAGGCGTAAGTAATTAAGTAAGTACACTACTGAGGAATCTCATATTCGGACTAAACAGCCACTCCACGATTCCAGGTTTTCGATAATGGTCTGGCTATGATTAGTTTGTGACTCAAACTATGAGAATAATACAATGCCCACAAATATCCTTTAAATATGCTTTAAGTCATAAATCTAATAGATATATCCAATAATCGCTATTAGTACCACTACTAATACAAATGTAACATGTTTTAATTCAAACTGGTAGCATTTTATATGTTTAAACTAATACTGATTTAGCAATGACTTCATTTCACTATATTCTGTATAGTAATAACACTGATTTGTTTATTTGATGTGAACATGTTGTTACTCCCATTTATACTAGCATTAATCATTAGGATTACAACTGATTAATCTGTTTCGGCATTAGCACATTCTGTGTAGATTACCTTGCTTTTGCCATTAAGTTGCAAGCTTTATAAGCAGAGATGGATGCTGGTTAGCAAGATTTGAGAATAAGCGTTTCGCTCTGCTGGTGACTCATTAGCTAGATATATCTGCATCCCAGAGTTGATACTAACCCCAGGACTCCAACCCAGTACCACTGGATTGAAATACCATCACTCTTACAATGGTTTGGATTTTAATTTCAGTATATTAGTAGTTTGAACTTTTTTCAATAATTTTTAGGACTCAAATCAATAAGACAAGTTCATTGTTATAATCTGCCGTAAACATTTCGAGAAGGATATATAACCTTAGTACTTCTAACTCTGACCTTTTTTAAATTGAGGGTGTGTAATATTGTAAAGCCTTAAAATGAACTATAATGACAGCGGATTATTTGTTTTTAACAGTTTCGTAAATGATGTTAACTGTTAATGAAGATTTTCTTCTAGCCATCTAACTGATGCTGAAATCCCATCACATTTACAATCATCCTAATACAATTAATACTTTTTATAATTTATCTACTTATTAGTAGTTAAATTAAATAATAAAAAATTTTCCAAAGGGATTTTTTTATTCAACGCATTGGTATTTTCATTCATCAGTTAACTAATTACAATATTTATGATCTTAAGTGATGCAAATTTTTTTTTGTAAATATACAAATTTAACTATGATAAACATAACGAGTAGTCCAATTAGTTGTTGACATATCCATAAATGATTTTATATGTATTAATTGTAATGGATCCAAATTAAGTTCTTCATTTTCCACTAATAGTGAGATTTCGGAAAAACATAATGCAGAAATAATGAATTCATAATTGAAACTTTTCATATTATGTCGACATAATTGTTTATTATTATTATTTGAATCATTCAGGAAGTTCGTTTGAAACTGAAGGGAGAGTATTCCACGGTGTAGTTGATCATTCCAACTTAAATGAACCTTATTAAATGAAATAAGGAAAGTGAAAAAGCCGAAACAAAAAACAACCAATCAAATGAAAGATAAATATTATATATTGTGCCTTATGACAGTTAATAAATTATTTCTCAATAAGACAATCAATATGAATTTGTATTAGGCATCTGATTAATTTAATCACATTTTTATATTGCAAACAAGCTCGTAATTAATTCATGCAATGTGTGTGAATTCATAGATAAAGTGATTCTCTTTGTTAATTTTGATTAATTAGTAGATTTCTTCGTCAACTACTAATACTACTAGACATTCACTAACTCACTGTTAGGTTCGTTACTAGGTATACCTGAAACTATTACGGGTTCACCTTACTCAGATAAACGAGAACGAGACAATCAACCAGTGACACGGTAGGCTACCCTGATCCGATGACTAACCAAAAGTCTTGATATAGCGGAGAAAGTGTATTCGACAAGCACCCAGCAAATACAATGATCTCAAGCACGCAAATCGCGTTTATTTGTACATCATAGAAACGTCCTTGGGATAGTCACAAAAATAGCACACTAAAACAAACAGCAACCAATCACAACCAAGGATTGTCCTTGTGGGAAATGAAATCTCAAGGTCAACTGATCAGTCCATGCTCAGAAACGTAAAATCCAAATTAAGGCATTTATCAAGCGAGTTCTGGGGATCTAACGTCCCGAACACTCACCACACAGTCATTTCAAAAATATTAAAGTTTCATGATTAGTATTATGTACTCTTAAGTTATTCAGTTAGAAGTTGAATTGTGTGTATATTTTTTTGTATTCAATTTATGAGCTAAAGAGAGAGAATTTTATCAGTTACTATTTGATTCATATTAGTTGAGTTTCATTCCCTGATCTGAGTTCTCTAATGGTAGAGCCTAATCATTGTGTTTCTGAACAAGATTATCAGTGTCAACTTAACAATTTGACTGAATCTAAAGATCCCCATAATTATTCGTAATACGCGGAAGACCACTGTATCTTGAATTAATGACTGAACGATATTGCTCTAGGCATTAGATCTGAAAATATCGTGCCAATAATCTTTAGGAATCCTGTGAAATAAATCAATTTAACTGTTTTCGTTTTCATTTATTTCAGTAACTTTCCAGCAGATATTATCACTAACCTTAATTAATTTAAAAGTATTTTCAATAATTACATTTTATATGAATTTAGTTATTTCAGTTTAGTTTGTATAGCTATTTTCTTCTTATTTAGGAAAATATCAGAAAATTATTTAGAGATTATTGTCTCTAGTTTGCTAATATGGCTACTTTCATTTGTTAGATAATATTAACCCTTCTAACTTATACCTATTAATAGATAACAGGTAATAAATCATTTAAAATCAATTAATCAACGCAAAAATTTATTGATTTTATGGATATTAACTATTGAAGCAAATCGAACATTGTTCAAACATGCCATTCATCAAATCAGTTCATATTCTAGTACCGTGTTCTTATTAGTATTTAGATTAAATCTTTTGCATTTACCTCCATTCACGAACAGTTAGTAAATGTTTGTAATTCACCTAGATCTTAAATGAAAAGCTAATCAACTGAAGTTTCTAAATAAACTGAATACATTTAACAGTCAAAAGTGCTTTTCATTAAAGTGAACAATATGCTTTTAAACTAAATCCTGGACAATTGAGATTGAAGCATAGATGTAATTTTACTCTTTGATTTCAAATATACGGCAATAAAATATATTCTTTCATACGATTTTATTTCATTCCAATCTATTTTAAAAGCATGATGAAACCAACTAACCTTGATATTTTCGATCTTCTGATTAGTCAGCCATATCTGAAATGTTTCAGGACCTGTGAAAACGAAAAGAAACAAGAGTTACTTTAAAGCAAATTTGTTTTTTTATTGCCGACGATAAATACTTATTATGTAGGATTTTTTAATTTTTGATTGGAATGTAGGTTTTGCTATTACTGTAGTGAAGGAGAACACCGGTGAGGGCAACCGAATTGTATTTAACGAAAATTACAGAGTTACTCAGTAAAATAGGAAAACCATATCGTAAATCGTTAATTTGCAAAATATCAGTCCATCATATCGAACTGGACTGTTCCTGTTGCAAAACATCAATCCATTGTCACTATTCATGCGTTTCATACAAATTCCATTGTGTTCTAACTCTTCCTTTCTTGATCTTCCCCCATTTTCTGTTGCCAGACATTACGTTGACACTCACGTCATATACTACTTATAAGTAGCTCACACCACACTACTACTACTTTTGAAATCATGAATCGATCAATGTTAGGCCACCATTAGAAACCTGGAAGCAGTGGATGGCCGATTCGTCCTGGTATAGGACTTATCAACAATGCGCATTCACAACTCCTGCATCTCGCAGGATTCGAACCCGGGACATTCAATCTTGCGCGTGAACGCCTAACCTCTGGACCACTACTACTAATAATAATAGTTAATAATAATAATAACAGTAATCATAATATTATTATCAATACTATTACCAAGCTCTATAAAGCTGGAATAAATATTTATTGATATACCACTTACACAGAATAATTTCATTTGGTTTATTGTCAATACACAGATTCCAAATCAGCAATCCATTTACATTCACTGGGTAGAATGCTTTTGAGATTCTAAATGCATTATGAAAAATGTAAATACAGTTATTTGAAATGACCTTTAATTATAGTATTTAAAACATGTTATTAACATACTAAATGTTATAGTTATTAGAAAATGAAAATAATCGAATAATGAGAATGATTACATTTGAAAATAATTCACAGTCACTATAATCTTTTCTTTTAATGAAATCATAAAACAGATAAAGAGAAAAATTTTTCACTCAACTGTTTTGTGCAGATATATGAGTAGTATTATTTTAAGTGATTGGAAATGACTGGTAGGAAATTTTACACTCGGGTTTCTGATTTATTGGCACTCATCAGTGTTGTGTATCGGAAATCCAGGAAAAAAAAGGGTTATAGGTTGACTCAAAACTAGATCACCCAGTTTCATAGTCTGATACAGTCTAACTGAGCTATGTAGGCACTAGAAAACTCAAGGCATAGGGTTCCTTGCTGACTACGACTAACTACCTAATATGAAGATATATTTTGAGTCATTTAAACTAGCGTTTACATTTCAACTTGATTGCTGATATTCGATTGGGTAAGTAGACCAACATAACCTTGACCACTACTTAATGACCAGTCAGTGTATAAGAGTGATACCCTTGTGATATTTCAAATGGCTACATGTGTAATTTCGCCAAAAGATGTTTAAGAAACAGATTCACTATTTTAAAATCACGCCTCAGAAATAAATAATAGAAATCTTACTATCAAGTATAATAAGTATTTTGGAAATTCTAATAAGAATTTTCAAACAGTTTGATATCAGTATCATTCATAAGTCGATTTAATCCGTTTACTTCATTTTATGTTAAACGAAATATACAATACTGAAGAAAGACTTATGTAATATGATGTACAAAATAAATTAAACCAAATGGCAAGAGGGACCTGCTAATACACATACACTAGCATAGATATAATATCTTGCCAAGATAACCAATCAACTACTTAGATGAATTGAATTACAAAAATGCCTTAATAAGGGATTCACATGTCAGAGAATTTCTAAGAGCATAGAAATCAACTTAATCAGCTGACACATCGATATAAACAAACTTCAATAATACATAAGAGGGAAGTTTAACAAATCACATATTTACAAATCAGTTAAATTAAACAAATGATGAAAATAAGATAAAATAAATCAAATTCATTAGTCATACACACAGAGTCGTCATAACAGTTTAGCTAAGAATTTATTGAATAATTTAAAAATGAAAACATCCCTTCTACAAAAATTAAGAACGTGATGATATTTTCCCAGAACAACAATAAAAGCTTCTTGATCAAATTATCTAACTCAAAGAATACAGTGATTTGAGGAATTCTTGTGTTTACTAGATAATAATAATAATAATATACTGCTTTTTGTGTACATCTATCAATCTAAGATACGAATTCGATTAGGGGGCAATTTTCAATCACTTAGTCATCATGACTTAGATTATCTTCACTGTTGTGCATAGAGCAAATAGTTAAAAATTACTGATAACATAAAAGGTAGAGAAAAATGATTGGATTTGTATTCTTAACATCACAAATTGACTGAAGTCAAACATCTGTTGAGTAAGCTGAAAGTATAAGACAGTTATTCTATCCTAGCTATTTAAAATTTTCAGCTTTTATTCTAAACTCTTAACTTTCAGACTACTGAATTGCCCATTCAATGGTTAACATGTTCAAATTCAATCCATTCGAGATATTGAGTTATTTGTATTATTCATCTAATACTTTGCATGCATAAACTTTCATGTTCACTGTTCACATTAGAAATCTGAAGCTTAAAAAGCCTGGATTCTATTCTTAATAATATATTGGATAAGATTTTAAACAAGTACAAAGTGAACATTGAAAGCCCTATAAACCATAGAGACGTCTTTAGGAGAGTCACAAGATAGCACATTAAAATAACACAGTAACCAATCACAGCCAAGGATTTTTCTTGGTGGTAAATGAAATCTCAAGGTCACCTGATCGGCCCATGAATAAAATCCAAAATCAAGACATGTATCAAGTGAGATCTAGGGATCTAATATCCCCAATATAAACAGGAAGCAATAATCACTGGAACTGATTTTAGTAGAGGTGGATAGTGGCTAGCAGTGGAATCCGGGAGACACATCTCGTCTCATTTAGGACTCGGCTTCAGCTTGACGTATCTCTTTCTCAGAATCAAAGTTCAAACCATGACTCAAGCCCAGAAGCGTTCGCTTCAAACGCTGTCGAGTTAGTCACTTAGTCTGGAGAGTAACTAGCTGGTGTAATGAGGTCAAGGTTAATTCATTGATACTGTCGGTTTAAATTTATCATCGATGTTTAGAACTGCATTCGATCAGCCTCTGCTAATAATACTTGTAACCTAAAGGCAGTATCGAGACAGTCCTCACAGGACGCGTATATGTTGAGGAAACGGATCAATTACTGACCTAAACGTCAGTGGGATGATTCAAATAACTACCGTAAATGAAATGATTCTGGTTCTTTTAGTTTACAAGTACCACAGTATTTGTTAACTGAACTAATTTGCAAAATATGTAAACATTTGAACTAATAAGTACGTTAATGATATATCATAAGAATGAGTTGTAAATAATCTTTTAATTTATAAGATAATTGTTAAAGCATTAAATACTAGTTTATACAGAGACAATATGAATAATTTAGTTATCTATGAGACAGATGATGAATTAACTTTGATTCAGTGAAATCTTTTATATCAGTGAGAATGATCAACAGTTATCATTTATGAAGTCTGCTTAATCTATATACACTACTTTATCATTCAGCAGCAGTATTTAGTCCTCAACACTGAATCTCTTTTATAGAACATATTGGAATATCATTCAATTAATCCATTTGCAACAAATCTTGCTATGGTAGTGAATGATTTTAGATAAATTCCTTTGAGATATGTTGATTTTGTTGAGAGGAGGAGTGCCAACTAACACAAAACAAAAGGCCCCTTGATTACAGTTATTATTTATACAACATTTCGTTATTTAAAAATTTATTTATTTCAAAAAGGACTAAAACAATTCTTCTGAACAAAAACCACAGACATACAATATTCATACTGTTTGTAAGTAAGTATCTTCTCAAACAAAACATGATTTTTAACAAGGAAAATTAATAATAAAACTGAAAATTCATATACTACTATTACTCCTCCTCCTCTCAATTACTATGTGATCAAAGATCACAAAGATTAGTTTATAAAGTTTATGGAACATCAGTCTTTCTCATCAAAATGCTCCGAGTTTGTGAGAACACACTTGTCCTAACTGTTTCTCCGTCATACGACATATTTGTGATAGCTCTCACTAATCGAGGCTTCAACCGCTTCATTATTTCATGCTTTGTTGTCTCGCTAAGTCTTTTACTGCAATAATGTACTGAGATAATTTTCTTAGAATATCGTTCATTACCAATCAGCCAGACAGAAAACAACTGATCGGAAGGAAAAATAGACGCTACATGTTCATATTTTCATGAATACAGTAATTCTGATCTTCGATAATTATTATAGGATACATGGATTTCACTCAGGTGCACTAGGAATCAACTGTTAGTTTATGTTTTTATCTGTGTTATCAGGATTCAGTATTTCATGATGTCCATGGGTTTTTCTCCCCAGTTTTATTGATTATCTAGTGTGCCATTATTTATTGGACAAAATCAATAAATACACGCATGAAACAAAAATTTCATGAATACCTTCTTTGTTGTCCATCAGTATTGGAAACATTTACTGCTGAATCGTTGAAATGCAATCTCAGTTTATCTGGATTATTTACAACTTGAAGATCATCATTCTGATTGGATAAATTAAGGAGATCATTTTCTTCAAATCTCAAAGGAATGGATAATTGTTGGAAATTGTTTAATAATTTATATCGATTTTCTTGTTTAGATTTTATATCATAATGATTTAATAGTTTACGTGTATGTGCTTGAAGAACAATAATTCTGGACATAGTCTATGAAATAGAATATTGAAGATTTAAAACAATAACTATAAAATGATTGTAAATTGAAGTTAATTTAAAATAGAACAATAGGCAATTTGAAAATAGTTTTAATTTAAATCATTTAAAAACTAAGTAACATTCAATATTTATTTAATCAAAAGTTTCTAAACGTTATTCATTGATGTGTACACACATGATCTTAAAGTTTTGACGCTAACATATTCTTCATATCCTTTAACTGGTTTTTTGTAATTTATACCCTTAAATTAGTTGATTGATTTATACTTCCCAAAACTGTTTCATACTTGGTCCTTGAGTAGAAAATAGTGAATACTAAATGTTAAACAAACTTTACTGCGAAAGTCAAACAGTAGACAATAAATGAGATTATTTATAAGACCATTGATCATAACATAATGGCAAGATGTTTAGTAATTCCGCAAAATTTTGTTTTTCTTCTCTAAACAGTTATGCCATGTTTCGTCATTTAGCAGTTTAAAAGCAAAACATATATCAATTAACCATGATTATTTTACACACTGAAATCATCAGTCAATCATTTTTAGACCACCATTAGAAACCTGGAAACACTAGAGGGCCGTTTCGTTCTGATATGGGACTCATCAGCAGTGCTCACTAGTGAATAGCTTCGTGAGGAATTTCTGGGAGTTCTAATAAGAAAACATGACCAGTGGAGTTCAACCCTGTCGGGTGTAGGGCAGTAACTATCAAAGACAAATGGGTGAGTTCGCGCAAAATCTTTAGATCAATCAGAGTTAGACATTAACACCGTTGGATGCCAGCTCAGTGGTCCGGAAGTTAGGCGTTCGCGCAAGGCCAAAGGTCCCGGATTCTATTCCTGAGAGGTGCAGGAGTCGTGGATGCCTGCAACTGATGAGTCCCATACCAGGACGAAACAGTCGTCCAGTGCTTCCAGGTTCGAATGGTGGTCTAACAATGATTGAATGACGAGTTAAATATGTAAAAACGATAATATCCATTATTTTAATTAAAAAATCATGATTATTTTATGTTCAAAGCGTAAATAAATTGAAACTGTTGTTTACGAATCAATCTGATCAACTTAATAATTAACCCCTGATAATAATCACCTCATAATAACCTACGCTTAGCAAAATTATTAATGTTGTTTACTTTATATTACAGACTTATATTGATTGGTTCAATGATTCGTAAAAAATAATTACTCAATTGATTATTAGTTCTTTCTATAATAAGTAGCCTATTTATTTGAATACCATCATGAATCAGCTGTACAAAAGTCATTTTTAAAAAAAGTACTAAAAATTATCTCGAATAACTGGGTCACTGATTCATCAATTTCAATTTTTATTTTTCTATCAGAATTAAGAAAAAACAAATATTGGTTGTAAAATTGTTTGTTTTTAATGAGATTCAATGATCATTATGATAAATATCAAATATTGTTTTACACTTTTAAGAATAAACTTCCATTCAAGTTTCAGGTTGCACTTATCAATACATATTGTATAATAAATTCAAACAATATGTATTCATCTAATCAAACTGTATTGATAAGACAATGATATTCAATCTACTGTTTAAATTGTATGAAACTAATGAGCTTTATAAAACATTATCTGAAAGAGGATGACAATGTCTGTGGTTTATCAGAAAAAAAACAAAAACTAGCAATGACTTTTTTAATAAATGAGTGTTATTCCAAATGAAGTTGAAAAATCAAATCAGAGTGTAACGTAGGAAGAAGTCAAGACAAGATAAAAGATATATTTGTAGAGAAGACATTGCTTATTTACAAGTTATGTACATATACAATTCAGACACATCCATTTTCCAATATAAGAAGTTTGTTGACTATCTTCCGGTAGATCTTTTTTGTTCTTCAATATAGTGCATTTCGATCTGCAGACGCTCTTCTCCCTGGTAAGAACTTCTAGGTGAGGCTACGCTGCACATTACTTATATGTCATCATGTGAGTAGCATCTACTACCAGTGTAATTAACTTACAGATAAGTTTGAAATATGTTAGGATATTCATCCAATATCGTAAGAGAATTGTTGGTCAATTAGTATTGGTTAATTCCTACTGGTCAATTTTATTGTCGTCCTAGATATCAATGTCACGTGCTCAAATGTTGTTTCTTATTGGTTGTCCTGACTACCGGTGCCACTTCAAATCTTGCTTCCTATTGGTTGTCTTAACTGTCAATGTCACAGAATTCGATGCTGTTTCCTATTCTACCAAAATGAATGAATACGCGTTATCTGTAACGTTTTATGACCAGGATCAGGACCCGTTCCCGGATCCCTAGTCCGGGATCCTGATTCTCTTCTGGACTCGGACCTCGTACTTTCTGGATGCTTGTAGAATACAGGTTCTACTCCACATTCAAGTCTTCTTATTTCACTAAATATGGGGGTTGGTATAATCGAATTTGAGTAGCATGTCGTATCACCGGATCCTCGATCCTCGCTCTCATTTTCCGACTAGGTAACTCGTAATAGTTCAAACATATCAAGTTGACGTGTTTACGTGCAGGCATGACAAAATATTTGTATTTTATTGTTCAGTAACATCACAGCACAGGTATAATGTTGATGTATTAAATTATGATTCTTTCTTAAGAAATAATGATTAGCATAAAACTAAGGACCCTGATAGTTTACCAAGTCTCAAACAGACCATTTAACATGGGATTGTGCACTACTTGTTGGTTTCTTTAATCTGAAAATCATAGTACATTGATTACTGATAAATGAGAAAACAGAATAAATGCTCTGCTTTGGTTAACAATTACACTTATTATCAAGGGGCAATATAGAAATATTTAAATTTTGTTATACATTTTTCAAGTCGAGCATTATCAGTGAAAATAATAGTTCCGTTAGATAATATTTCTTAAATATTTGAAAGTCTTCAATCAATTCATTACATATATGTTGACATTATATTGAATCAGACTTTCAAAGACAAATCCTAGAAGAATTGCAAATCAATATCAGGAGTAGAACTGTTGACTACTTGAAGGAATTGGATAAATATTTTGTCCAATAATACTCAACAATGTAGTCTCAAAACCTTATATAAGACTGAATCTAAACATTTTCGTATTTTGTTCTGTGAACATGACACAGTGATCCTTAGTTTAATCACCAACGTTTCCAACTTTATTCATCAATTTATGATATAAATTGATTTGAAATGAATGTCTTTATTTAAATTGTAGATGTACTGTGCCAATGAATATAAACAAATACAAAGGATTTAAAGATCAATTTTAAGGATTATAAGTCAAAAGAATTATCTATTACTGTACAACAATGTATATTCAGCCTTGATAATAGTCAAAAATAATTTATCTAAATAAGTAGACTGTTAGCATTTCATGAATATACGTTGGGAGCTTCGATTGTTTACATCACCTATTCATTAAGATGTTAGCATTGAAGGTTCCTGGGGATTTTCCATCAGAATATAATACACATTAAGGGATAATCAAGGAAAACTGGGGAATGCTGCACAGGAGTGGGTAACAACAACTCCCTATCAAGAATTGAGCTTCTAGTTTTCCTGATTATCAGTGAGCATGGGCTCATTGAATAGGAGATTCAGATAAGATGAAATGACTATTGAATGTTACACAGTTTTGAAATATTCTAAAAAAGCTGACACTTAACTACTTAACATTGATATATTTAAATGATTCTCAGTTTTCCTTAAATCTGGCACACCACAATCTTGAACAAAAGACAAACGGAGAAAAAACAAGAAAATTTATTAGATCATTTGCAACCTCAATATTCTGGGACCTTTTACAAATACTCCTAAATCACTAATACAATCGATAATTATCCAAATTCGATAAATGGTCCATCAAACTGTGAAAATTTTTCACACTTATCCCAACTCCTGAAGACATGTACCAGATACTATCAAGGGCTACCAAGTAGCAAGATGGTTAACTAACAAAATGGTATATGAATTTTTGTGTTATATAGTTAAGCATGAAATTATAATTTCATATTGAACACTAGTGACGATAATTATTGTTTAACAGTTTAAAGAATTGATTTTTTTTAACATTAAACAATCAATCGAAATTATTATTATTATTATTATTATTATTATTATTATTATTATTATTATTGTGATTAATTAGCCAAAGCACATGACATGCTGATCAATCAAACACATTTTTATAATCATTAACAATGAACATTTCATCGTCATTTATGTGTTAATTTTTTGACAAAACACGTATAGTGCTATATATTATTAGCATGTAGGCAGATTGTGTTAAAGTATGAATAAATATTCGATATGATAAAAAATTATGCATGATTAGAAAATAATGTGTATAATAGATTGATAATGAATGTAGAATTGTTGGAGGCCGAAATAAACATTAGTTCAACTGATGACAACTGTTGATTTAAAATTATTAGTCAGCAGTAATAAATTACCATCCTGTAAAAGTGGTATGGAACATCGTAGTTTTTTGTGAGGTATCATAACAATCAACATTGTTATTAAAGTACTCAATCAGGATTTAATGAGTTACATGTTGGAATTCTAACTTAGCTCTTCATTCAGTGATGCATTCCTGGTTTGATTAACTTCACAAATTATTTCATCCCAGTAGAAATTTGACAAATTTATCTTTAAAAGTTTATGAATAGAAAAAACAAACTAGTTGATCATTGCTTCTTGGTTTATGATAGTTTTTTTTAATTAAGATCAGTTCCTGCTCAAAAAATCACCACTTAAAATTGATATCTCCTAAAAATTATTAAGCTAAACAACATTTGTTAGTAATAAATAAAACAATATTTGATTTTCTGTGTCAAACATTAAAACATTCTGTCGTATTCTTATTGATTGGCTGAGTATTTTAATTAATGTTCTATAAGTGCATTAAATAGGAATATATAATTCTTACTAAACTGATATTTTACAATAAGTCCGGTTTGATTCAAGGTTGGATTAAAATAACAATTGTCAATCTAGTGATGGTGAATCTGTCAATAAAGGATACTCATAGCTTAAGTATAATTTTATCCGTATACACAACATTTGTTGAAAGTTGTTTACTTAAAAATATGTTAAACTAATGTATATATTCATCCTACTGGTAATTCATTCTTACATCAATTATTTTTGGCTGCAGCTAGAACGTCAATGGAGGACACAAAACAGTAGAACAGTTGATCAGTCCACAATAACCATTAAGGCTGGGACCAATGTATGTAAGCCCAAATGCTATGCCTTATCAATATGATAAAATGAAATTGATAACATAAACAACAAAAGAGCTAGAATAATTACTGTGAAAATCAATACGAGAAAGACTAGATATTCAAGAAATTGTGCAGGATAAGAAATAGAAATTTATTTATGAAGAATAACCCCACCCGGAGTCCTTCTGTTTTACTGTCGGTCTGAAGCCAGATAGAGGAGGAGGGTTGGCAACCCCACCCTGTAGAAAACTAACTCTCTAAACACAACGTTAACCAGAAAAATAATTCAAGCCATTTAAGTTCTGCCCTTGGAGTTAGAAGGTCTTCATTTATAAATACGAGTTTCTTCGGAAGTCACGAGGCTGATACCTCTTCTGAAAACAAGAGCAACCATTGATTTAGGTTCATGAAATGCTGTCACATTGTGGGAGACTGAGAGAACCATTCAAGTTGCTATGGAAGCTAAAAGATACAACCTGGAGATGCTTGGAATCAGTAAAACACATTGGACACAGGTTGGATAAAAAGAGACTAGGTTCAAGTGAAATAATGCTATACTCCGGCAATGAATAAGAAAATACTCCATATACAGAAGTTGCACTGATGCTGTCCAAACAAGCACAAAAAGAATTTATACGATAGGAGACTCATGGACCAAGGATCATCAAACCCTCATTCAAAACGAATAAAGAGGAGATTGCAATGAACATCATCCAACGCTATGTGCCTACCAACGATTACAATGAAGAAGTTAAAAATTAATTCTACGAGATGCTGCAGTCAGTAGTTGAGAAATGCTCATCAAAAGACTTGATCATTCTGAAGGGAGACCTAAATGCCAAGGTTGGCATGGACAACACTGGATATGAAGACATCATGGGACGACATGGACTGGGAGAAAGGAACGAAAATGTTGAGAGATTTGCAAACCTATGCACCTTCAACAAACTCGTTATAAGCAGCAGCATATTCCCACATGAACGCATATACAAAGCCACATGGATTTCCCCGGATCATACCACACAGAACCAAATCCACCACTTCTGTGTTAATAAAAAGTTCAGAAGGACTATGGAGGACGTGAGAACCAAGAGATGAGCTGAAAAAATTTCAGATCATCACTTGTTGGTAGCCTGAATGAAGCTGAAACTGAAGGAGCGCTTAACAACGTGGCGAACAGCATCACAAGAGTTTATTACAACCTTTATTCGGGATACTAATAAAATCAACGAATTCAAGATAGCTCTCAGCAATAGGTTCCAACATTTGACAGTCTACTCAAAGAAGAGGAAACTGCCATAGAGGACAGCTGGAAGGCGATCAAGTAGGCAATCACTTCATCGTGTCATGAGATTCTGGGTCATAAGAACCACCATCAGAAAGTATGGGTTACTGCTGATACACTGGACAAGATTCAAGAATGGAGAAACAGAAAGGTAGCAATCAATATCAGCTAAACCAGAACAGAGAAAACCAATGCACAAGCTGAATACACAGAAATAAACAAGCAAGTGAAGAGGAGCATCAGAGCTGAGAAACGTAAATATGTGGAAGATCTAGTCACAACAGCAGAAAAAGCAGCAAGAGAAGGAAATATGAGACAACTATATGATACAACGAAGAAGCTTGCTGGAAAATTTAATCAACCAGAAAGACTAGGGAAAGCAAGGAAGGCAAGGTAATCAAAGGCACTGGAGATGAGAGAAACAGGTGAGTAGAGTACTTCATAGAGCGCATGAAGCAAACAGTACCACTGAACCCATCCAACATTAAAGCAGCTCTCACGGACCCTCGCTTGGAATCCTCAAGGTCAAAGGAAAAGAAGACGACAGAACACATAATTCCGAGAATAGGAACAGGACATGAAAAGAATGAATAGCAATTGGATAGAAGTAGAAATGAAGACCTAGGACGGAGTAGGTCGGAGGACGCTGGTCGGTGGCCTGTGCTCAGTCGGAGGTAACCGGCTTAGTAAGTAGGTAAGTAATAAATAATGGCTGCAACTCAAGATTGAGAAGAAGACAAGCAGTAAATCCACCTGTGCTATTGTAAATGAACCTGAACCATACCACCAAAAGTCTACAACCGCTAGCCTGGGTTGTCATTCAAGCTGACTCCAACCAGACAGTTTGCATATATCAACATGGCCTAGTCCAACAATCAGTAACTTCATGGACTGGCGCCACATCTTGTTTTTGATACCTCTAATTCACCCAAATTATTCTCACACCTGTTAACATCAAAAGCAGTGGTTGGACATGTGTTTAATATAGTTAAGTTCTTTCGGTCTATACAAATTTACAATATTATCGATCTGTTCCCTCTCTTTCCTTAGGGTAGCGCGTCTAATTTTAATACTACCCAATGGATCCTTTTTCATATGAACGATATTTCGAAGCCATCGAAAACCCATAGTCTTCAACCGTTGAACAGTCTAACATGACCTGCAGATTGGTTATGATAGTGCTGGTTCTGATTTAAATAAACCAGTAACATTTTCATGACTGACCTTTGATAACATCGATGACATTTCAATTTAACAAATAATGATTAAATGGTAGAAAACAAGTAAACCGTGTTTTAATTAAATTTAAAAACCATAAATATGTGTGATTTGTGTCCAACTGTCAACAGTGATGCATCTATAAATTATTGACCATTAATATATTCTGACATATTAAATGACTATCACTGAAAATTCCAGAAATATACGTTTTTCATGGAATCATAAATCTCGGTAACGCTATAAGACTATAGTCCATATTTTATGGAAAATGAATCCAAATAGGTAAGCTATAACAATGTAGTACGAGTATAACTTAAAATACTGTCTTATAAGAAATTTTCTTTTCAACTGTAGATTAATATTAAGCATCACAGGCTGATCTTAATTAGACAATTATTAAAAACTTGGGAATAATTGACGATTTTGTCATTTGTCATTAGATGACAATCCTAAGGCCACAAAAAACACCATCCAATAGTTTATATTTCTAACTTCAATAAATTCATATTACTGAGTAACCTTTTTCCACTTCGATTGTGGATAGCTGCCTCAGTATGGCTCAGCTCCACCGGTCACAATTTCTCACTAGTGTAAGGTTAAGAGTTCGGAGAGAGGGAAAGAGAAATCGAAGGTCCTTATTCCGATCTTCAGTGCCGGTTGCGGCTGCTCACTCTTGAGGAATCTCGCGCTAGGACGAAACAGCTTTCTCATGTGTCCTAGTTTTTGACATTCGTCTAACTAAGATCAGTCCGTATTGCATATTAGGAAAATTCAAAATTTTCTACAAATCCCACTATTTAACTAAGAAAATACTTGATTACAATGACTAATTAAATAGTTTATTGATTCAAAATTACATGAAAATAGTTGAAGTGATTAGATATTAAGGACCTATTTCATAACAGATTTCTACCTGGATCAAATTTCACTGAGGATGGAAATATTGAACCATAAACTATAAGTCCTGGTTATTTCCAATTATAAACTGATTTAATGATAGAAGAAAACATACTATAAAATAATATAAGTATTGATAAACTCACTCGGGTTGAAAAATTATTCCCTTATTAGCACGTATTATCAATTATTGTTGTCAATTGGTATATAATCACAATTCCAAGGTCACTGCTATTTGACTCTATATTGTGATTGGTAAATTAAGTCATGTGATTAAATATTAGTTGAATATTGATAGTTAAAGAATCTACTACTGTACAATAAATTATATTTATATCAACTATACACTATATTTTAGAGTGCATATACATTTTCTCAAGTTCATTTGGATTGATGACGTAAATCAAATCCAAACACAATGCAGAAACATCTTCATGATGTGATCGATACAAATAAACAAGTAGTTGAAAATGAGGTTCAACTCTATGACACCGTGACAAACCAGTCTAAATGAACAAAATCACTGTTAAATTTCTGCCTAAAATTGAAAACTGAATGAGTTATATGCCAGATTACATAGAAATTCTATAGAAATATCTTTGTTAAGTCCTCAAGTTGTTTAAAAATGATCAAGAGAAATGCCTTTCTTTTTTTAAATTGTTAAGTAAAAATGATATGGTTAAACAAGTCATATTTTAACTTTTGTTTATGTCAGTTGCACATTATGTACAAATCAATATATATTTATTTCAATTTAATTTGTACACATTATATTCTGAAAGAAATTCCATTTACCAGTTATTCATTAATTAAAAATTCAATTGATGAAATTGAAATATTCAGATAGATAATGATTGTTACAAATAAATTCTTCATATAATTATTTTGAATGACTAAGTTAATGAAGAATTTTTAGGGGAAGAAGAAGTTTCTGCATAACTATTTATGGAAATAAGAAAAATTTCAATTTCAACTGTATAATGTAAATATAGATTTATATTAATATAAATGAAGTTATTCAGAGATATTTCTATAATATTAAGGTAAGAAAGCTAATTAGCTAATCGATAAACTTTACGCATTTATTTTTTTAAAATAACATATTTCTCATTGTCATGATATAGTTGTGCAAATTGTTGAGTTTTCATTGAAATCATGTGTTAGGATATTCATCCAATATCCTAGGAGAATTGATGGTCAATTCCTGTTGGTTAATTCCTACTGGTCAATTTTATGGTCGTCTTAGATATCAATGTCACGTGCTCCAATGCTGTTTCTTATTGGTTGTCCCGGCTATTAATGTCACTTCAAATGTTGCTTCCTCTTGGTCGTCCTAACTGTCAATGTCACAGAATTCGATGCTGTTTCCTATTCGACCGAAATGTATAAATACGCATTATCTGTAACGTTATATGATCAGGACCAGGACCTGGTCCCGGATCCCTAGTCCGAAATCCTGATGCTCTTCTGAACTCAGACCTCGTACTTTCTGGATGCTTGTAGAATACAGATTCTACTTCATATCATGTCTTCTTATTTTCACTGAATATGGTGGTTGGTATAATCGGATTTGAGTAGCATGTCTTGTCACCGGATCCTCGCTCTCATTTTCCGACTAGGTAAACTCGTAATAGTTCAAGCATATCAAAATGACATGTTTGCGCGCAGGCATAACATCATGGATCAATGAATGTTAGATCACCGATAAAAGCCTGAAAACACTAAATGACTGCTTCGTCTTATTATGGTATTCATCAGCTGTGCACATCCACGAAACACCAGACGAGAATAGAATCCAGGCCATTTAGCTTAACAGAAAGTGTGTTATCTATGATTATTATTTCAATTTTAAACATTACAAGATATATATTTTAAATAATTAAAATGTCAAAAACAACTTAATCGACTTTGTATAATTTTATCAATAATGTACAATTTAAATTTTCCAATGATAATTTTTGACATTAGAGAATGTACAGACTCATATTTTCAATATTTATATTCCGAAATTACAAAGGTTCTCTTCTCAGCACTTACTAATTGTTTATTTCAATAAATATTTCATACAAAAACGTTACAATTATCTGATATTTTCTGTAAAGAAAAAAATTACTAAAAATAGTATATTTAACTAAATAAAAAACATTTTGAATTGTATTCAGTGTTAAAACCTAATGAAAATGAATTTATTGCAAAAAAAGAATTTCATCAAAATAACTAAATTTAAATAAGTAGCATATTTAGAAAAAAAAATTTATTCCGAAGAAATTAATGATAAAATATTGATAATTATTCTGTGATACAATACATATTTTACAATCATGTCAATGAACCAATATTATTCATTGTTCAATTAGATAATGATCAGGTTTTATTCAAATGTACAATGATATTGATGTGAATATATTGAAATAGATTTAAATGAATCAGGACAATTTTATGAGTCAATGATTATGATAAAATAAGAATTATATTACTAAATATATTAAGTAAAAAGTATAAATTGATTTTGTATGGTCAGGTATTCTATCAATAATTAAGAATAATAAAAGTCTGAATCAATGTTTCAATGATCGGAAATAGGTCAAGACGTGAAATAAAAATAGACATTCAAATAATAGAATGATAAAAATTACACAGTAGAAACCGTTAAAATAATTAGACGGTGATGAATATATGAAAAAAAAAGATGAAAAAAACAAGGGATATGAAGAGTAATAATAATAACCATAATCAGCAAAATTACAGTCAGAAATAGATGGTGGCTAGCAGGAGATTTCAGAGCGCTCGTTTTGTTCTGTTCAGATGGGTGTGCCCTTATCCGTATTGATGTTCACCTTGGGACTTTGACCCAGTACCGTTGACTTCGAACGAAATCATCATATCCACTTAGCCACTGATACAATTCAGCGACTGGATTTTGAAATGGAGTGACGTTAACAAAAGAATGAGTTAAACTATTAGTCAAGCTTTATCAGGTCAAGAAAAGGACAGGAGCTTCACAAATTGCGTTGGAATTTTGAATTCCTATAGCTAAATAATGCAGAATACAATTATGTAAAATCATCTTGACTTTATTGCAGATATTCAAACACAACTCTATATGCAAAGCAAATCTGTTAAATTATACATAAGTAATCATCTTTTGAATAACACACACATATAATTAAATATGAAATTGTATATATAAATTGTGTTCTTCACGGGTTGACATAATGGGCATACACATTTGAAATCATCAATCAATCATTGTTAGACCACCATTAGAAACCTGGAAGCACTGGACGGCCGTTTCGTCCTTGTATGGGACTCATCAACAGTGTGCATCCACGATTCCTGCGCCTCGCAGGATTCGAACCCGGGACCTTCGGTATTGTGCGCGCACGCCTAACCATCGGACCACTGGATGCGCACTGCTGATGAGTCCCATACAAGGACGAAACGGCCGTCTAGTGCTTCCAGGTTTCTAATGGTGGTCTAACAATGATTGATTGATGATTTCAAATGTGTAAAAAACACAAATCTCCAAAGCTCTAACTGAAAATAATGGGCATAATTAAACAATAGAAAAGCAGGAAACAGTTAGCAGCTACTTTGTTTCAGTATAAAATTCGTGAACAATATGTACTCTAAACTACTTTATGAATTGAATCTAGAACCTTAAGGGCTTGTAACGGGGATTTAACACTTGGACCAATGAATATCATACATGAATCATATTGGGATACTATAAACGATTGTGGAAATTTCTAAAACGTATTCATTTATAAAAATCTACTCCGATTTACAGAAAGAAAATCAAATGCATAAATCATCAAATCAGTTATTAATTAAAGTGGTTACAACGTTTCCAATCTTACTGAGTATGGCATACTGATTTCATAAAGTAGTTTACTGATTGGCCCATAATGAGTTTAGTGAAACTAGAGTTGATTCAGTAGCTAGCTAACTGTTGATCAATATCAATCACTCAGTCATTCATACGCAATATAGAACAAAGTACATAAGTGCATAGGTTCAAGTTACCACACTAGATCAGAAAAAAATCAAATGAAGTTTTCTAGACAAACATCAGAATAGTAAAAGAAGAATGAATAGTAATGGAAAACACTAGTTATTAGAAATATCATTCCTTATGGAAAAATGAGTTTCAGTAGCAATGAGTGATGGTTGCTTGATATTATGAATTCAATAAAGTTGGAACAATAGGAAATAGAATTCAAATGAATGTCTTGAAGGGTAAACGATCACCATCAAAACTCAAAGTCCTGGTTTCAATCCCAAGTGAATTCGTAAGTGAGAATTGCTCAGGAGTTTCATACCAAGACAAAAAAACTGTCAAGTGCTTCTTGATTTTTAGTGATTGTCTAATTCGGTTCAGGAGACATTGTATAGTGTTCGATCCAATAAACTACACAATAACCGATACTAAATGAGACAAAATGTTTTTAAAAAATTTATTTCAACAGCATGTAAAGAGAAAGATAGAGAGTGAGAATAAGCAACATTACCTGAAACCACTCTTCAGTTGGAACGAAACTGTGAGCTGTCCTCTATGCAGAATTCTTTACTTAAATCCATCATAAGAATTCCATATGATGTTGACTATCTTCTCAGGCACTCCGTAGTGTCGAAGAAGCCTCCATAGTGTTATCCTGTCCACGCTATCAAATGCTTTCTCGTAGTCACTGAAGTTGACATAGAGTGATGAGTTTCATCCAGTTGGTTGTTCCATAATGATCCGTAATGTTGCAATTTGGTGGGTACATAGAATCCAGTCTGTTGATTTCGAAGTTGGGAGTCTATTGAATACTCCATTCTGTTTAACAACACTGTGTTGAAGACTTTGTTTGGTATTGAGAGAAGAGTGATACCTGTGTTTTTCTCTCCAGCCTTATGGTAGTTGTTCTTCATCCCAAATCTTGCTTATGAGGATGTGGGGTACTATCTCAGTTACTGTTTTCTACTTCCAGTGTTGTACTTAATGCTAAAAGGTTATTAAAAACAATTTAGTTACTGAATATAATTAAGTAGTATAAATTATGTTAGAGCAATAATCCCCCATTTTGTTTGTATCTTATGACAGAAAATAAATGACTGAATACTATCATAACTCATTCCAACTTCGCATGTTTCATATAAATCGTAAAATTACAATATTGATACCATGAGTCAATAGTGGAATGAGTCATTTATCGGTTATTTATGTACTAATTGTTCATCGCATATTATATACTTACGCATTTAAATTACTTGATGTGTATGTACAAGTAGTTAGTCTAAGAAATTATGTGGAAATA